TGATCACTAAAATGATTAGTTGAGAATGCAACCGTCACAGACAGCCCTTGAGCTTGGCCGGGGAGACGAACACTGCTCACGGGTACAGCTGAACAACAGACTCAGCATGTCGGACCAAAACAAGGAACAGAACAAAACGAAACAAAAATCAGTGCATGTTTGGGAGTCCTGGAGCTGGAGAAGGAGATGGGAGGGCAACGTGTCAGTCCGCAATTTCCATCTTCTCCACTTTGCTGCTCTCTGTGGAAAGAGGTCAGGCCAGTGAGGCAGCAGGTGAGGCCTGGGCATGGCCACCACCGGGGACTGGCTCTGGTGCCAGCCAGCCCCCCTAATCCCTCAAGCCCACAGAAGCCCCAGACCAGAGGAAAGACTTTTCAAAGGGACGTGTAATTTTGTGGGCAGACCTGGAAGCTGCAGTCCTGCCCTCAGAGAACATGGACAGCAGCCGCAAAGTTTTATGGCCACCCACCCAAGCCCAGGGGTGTTCCCCCTCAACCCAGTGCTGCATGTACCCATGGCTTCCTCTTTCATCTTGGCCAACCGGCACATCTTGATCTCCAGTCCGATGGCCTTGGCTAGTGGTGGAGGCACTGCATTACCAACCTGTAAAGAGGAATGTGGGACTGTGAGCTCACCCACACTCTGCCCTGCCTGCAGTTCTGGTGCCTGAGGCTTCTGCAGCAGCAGCTCAGCTGTCACAGTGTCAGTGGCCACTCGGCAACTGTGTCACTGACAACCTTTGCAGGGGGCAGGGGCACAACACCATGGGGAGGGAGAATCTGAGGCACCCACCTGTCTGTGCTTGTCAAGGATGTTCCCGAACAGTCTGTAGGTGTCAGGAAAGCCCTGGGACCGTGCACACTCCCGCACGCTCACCACGCGGTGCTGCTCAGGGTGTAGCACACGGCCCTGTGGGGGGATGGGAGATGGGGGTCAGCCACAAGGCAGGCAGCCCCGGAGCCAGGGCTGTGGAGGAGAGGTACTGCACCTTGCCCAGCAGCACCTGCCCCTGTGCAAATTGCCCTGTGGTCACCCCAGGGCAAGGGCCAAGGCTTGGAGGCCTCCTGCTGCATTCATGGGCCATGGAAGGGCAATTCTCAGCCCCACAGGGACTACATCCCAGTCTCTCCCACCCTTGCTTGCCCAGGTACCACCACACGCACCTGTTTGCCCATGGGTTCGGGGTTGGTGACCGTGGTGCTGAAGAAGCCATCCCACTCAAGGCGCCCATACAGCCCGGCCCAGTGATTGTGCCTGTTGCCCGTGTGGGGCAGACACCAAGGGATAAGCGTGTTGAACTGCCGGTCCGCAGAGTCACAAGGCTTCCCTGGGAGGTGGAAAAGCAGCACATACTTGGGTTGGGCTGCCTAAGGCAGAGGGCACAGACACCTGCAGAAAACCAGGGAGTAGCCCTTGTCCCTGCCAAGCAGCCTCTAAGCCAAGATAGGCCTCCTGCACCTGCCCCTAAGCCAAGATGGGCATGGGGCCAGAGCCCCGTCTGCTTTTTGCCCACCCCCAGTACCTTCGGCACAGGAGCAGACACCCCGCAGTGCGCCAGTGCTGCTGCGCCCATTCTTCTTCTCGTGGTGCGTGTAGCGCAGCTTGCGGGTGCTGGTGCCGTCCGACAGCCGTACCTCGATGTTGGGCAGGTCACGCCAGTCTGAGCCAGGTGCCAGGGGGATATGCCTCATTCGAGCCGCTACCAGTGCACTCATGTCCTGCAGCAGCGAGTGCGAGCCCTGTTACCTTCCCGCAGCCTGACACTAGCTGCCCAGCACCATCCCACACAGGGCTTCTGGTCTGAGTGACCCCCAGACACTGCCCCACAACCACAGCTACCCAAAAAGTCCTCACCTTGCAGATGTGGTCCCTGAGGATGGGCTGATATTGAGAGCCCCGGATCTGCCGCTGGAACCAGGACTGGGGCTCCCCATTGTATGAGATCTCTAGTGCTGAGGCCCCGTTCCTGATCTCGGGCAGGTCAGACATGGTGTCCCGGACCGTGATGGTGCGGAAGGGGCCAGAGTACGTCCTGTGGCGGAGGGGTTGAGGGGCCAGTCAGGCAACCAGTCATGGCTTAACTGCCCTCAGCCCCACAACTCTGACTTGGGGAAGGTGCCATGCTATGGACCTGCCATGCCCTTCCCTGGATATCCAGGGAAATCAGGAGCATCTGCACTGGTTCCGTGGGCCCCATCCCACTCCACCCGCCCCCATGGCCACCCACATTCACCTGGTGATATTGCTCACAAACTTCTTGTCATCCACCACAACACTGAGCTGGCAGGCACGGGGCGCAAACACATGCAGTGGCTCAGGGAACATAGGCAGCTTCTCTCCGGGGGCCGCAGCCAAGACAATGGCTCTCCGGCGCGTCTGGGCCACACCATACTGGCCGGCCTGTGGGGAGGGGGCATCCAGAGCCAGCTCCAGCAGGGCATTGGGCTCTTCCACCCCTACACATCACACCCACTCACCCCCTAAGGAAGCAGGTGCCTGAGCGGACACATGACATCTCCACCCAAGCCTATGCCCCAAGCAGAAGGGCCTCGAACCTGACAGAGCCTCTACCCAGGGCAGCCTCATGGAGCCCTGCCAGTGCTGCTCAGGCCCCAGACTCCTACCTGCAGCACGCCGAAGGTGCACTGGTAGCCCATGCGCACGAGGCAGCGTAGCGTGAGCTTGAGCACCATGGAGCGCTTGAAGGAAACAAAGTTGCGCACGTTCTCCAGCAGGAAGAAGCGGGGCCGGAAGTAGTCACAGTAGCTGTAGGGACAGGTGGGAGCAGGGACAGTGCAGCAGGGAGACTGGGCCGGGACCCATTACCAGTGAGTAGCCTCACCTGCCCCCACACCCTGCCACCCCCCCAAGCACCTCTGGGCTCATACAGTGCCAGGGACCCTTACAACACCAAGGGGTCCAGCTCAGTTGTTATACAGGAGGCCCCAGGGCGATGCTAGGCCATGGGTGCAGTGTGCAGGGGCTAGGGCCATGGGGCTCTCCCCAGGCCAAGCTCTCATGCCACATGGACCTTCCTGTGCTGCAGACTCAGATGCACTGCTGGCAGCTGTGCTGGGACTGCGAGGGACATGCTACATCTGTCCCCTTCCAGTCTCTCTCGGGCTGGAGCTTGGAGACTCCTTCCTCCCATCCACCTCACCCCAGGAGAGCCTCAGTGCCCCCCCACCTGAGGAAGGAGACAACAAGGGAATTCTTGAACTTGGAGTAGGTGCGGGAGTTGAAGCGGTTCATGCCGCTGAAGCCCTGGCAGGGGGGGCCACCGCACAGTAGCTCCACATCGCCTTTCTGTGGCAGCTTCTGGCCCAGAGTGTTGGTCTTCTCGCCGGCCATCACCAGCTTCAGCAACACATTGCAGTCCTCCGTGAATACTGTGCTGCCCGGATTGTTCAGGCGGAAGGCCTGGGCTGCTGGCTCCCACATCTCAATGGCCCACAGTGTCTCCGAGACTCCTGGAGGCAGCATGGAGGTCAGGCTGGGTGGGATGTGTAGAGATTCCTCCCGCCACTCCCAGTCCTCCACCACTCACCCGCTTGGTGGAAGCCCTCAGAGAGGCCCCCACAACCAGAGAAGACATCAAGGGTGCGCAGCTTGGGCAGCTTTGCCTCAGCTGGCTCCTGCTCATTCTGCTCTGAGGCTGACGGTGACTTGCCTTTGCCTTTACCTGCAAGGGGAGGGGAGAGACTCTCAGAAAAGGTGGACCTCCGACCCCTCACTTCACCCAAGGACCTCTCAGCCTCCTTGTCTCATCTCCAGCCCCAAAGCCACCTGGAGTCATGCCCTTTCCCTGCCTGGCTGACCACCAGCAGAGAGGATGCTGATAAGGGAGGGCCGAGTTGCCAGCATGAATGGGGGCCTAGCGGATGCCAACACATGGCTTCCTGGGGCAGGCACCAGCATCAGGGGCTTGGGCTGCGATGGGGATTTGCTAGCCCCTCACAGTGTTGCTCTGAGGAAAGCTGCTTCCTGCCTCGGGGAGGAGCAAGTTTGGTCCCAGGCTCCTGAGAGATGATGCAGGTTCTGGTACAAACCTTCACTCAAATCCACCCAGGCAAGTCCAATGCTCCATCCCATCTCCCAAAATTCCCTGCAGAGGCCAGGGGCAGCTGTGACCAAGAAGCAAGACAGCCCAGAGCAGCCACAACATGAAACTACCTTTGCCTTTCCCTTTGCCCTTGCCCTTGTTCCCGGAGCTGCGGGCGTGGTTGGGGGGGTCCTCAAAGCTCTTGGTCTTCGCGTTGTAAGCCTGGAGGAAAGTAGGGGCCAGAGCTGCACTCGTCTGGTTGGCACCATCTGCCCCTCAAGTCACGGCTGGGATGTGGTGCTCATAGGTACCAAAGCTTCCAAACCCTGAGCCAGGTTGGGCAGCAGGTGGGTGGCGAGGCCCAAGGCTCAGGGCAGCCCCTGCATGACACTGGACAGCTGTTCTCCTACAGCCCCAGCGGTGATGGTCCCTGGACTTGCGTGCACATTACCTCCAGAAAGTAAAAGCGGTCAAGGCCATTGGCCGAGTAGTCCTGGATGCTCTCAGTCAGGTCCTCCCCATATACCACGGTGCAGCGCCCCTGCACCGCCCGGAAATCCACTGTGGCTTCCTCATCACTCCAGTACAGCAGATTAATGTCCGAGTGGTAGCTGGCCTTCATGGACTTGTGGGTGTTTTCGGGCCTGCAGGGATCACATATTAGCCCAGGATGGTGGGGAGGATGACTGGGGGAAAGACCATGCCCCTCGCACCATGGCTGTGCTTCCACCTTCCCCCTGGTCAGGCTCCTTGGAGGACAGAGCTTGGCTTTCCTGCCCCTGTGGTGGATTTAAGCCAGCAGGGAGCGAGCCAGAGAAAAGCTTGGCCATGTCACCCCAATATGAATTAAACCAAGGCCGGTATTCACCTGTGCGGCACATGACCTCTGCTCCTGGGCATGCTGGAGGCAGCCCTGGCTCCCCATGGGGTCCTCTACAGCTCCTGTCTGACCCACGAGCCCACTCACCTGTAGAACTTGTAGAGGCGCAGCTTGATATCTGCTTCATTGGGCTTGCCATTGCTTCGCATGTGACAGAAGATCTCCTTGATGCGGCCCACACGGAAGGGGTCGGGCGCGTCCTGGTTGCTGCCCTTGATGTATTCTGAGTACTTGCGGTAATGCTCTGGGTATAGCTCCTCATCCACTGCCTCTTTCTTGGAGCGCTTGGCTGGGCTGGCCGGCTTCATGCTGGGTTGGGGGAGGGGGAGCAGAGCCAGAGTTAAGGACCCCTGGCCTAGGGCAGGGGAGACTGGATTGCTGTCCCACCTGTCCCAAGGGACAGCCCCATGTAGACCCCCTCCTGCCTAACCCAACCAACCTGACTTGGTCTGGGGCACACACCTGGCTCTCTTATGGGCTACTTTACGGGCAAGGGAAGACCTGCCCTGTTTAGCCCCTACCCCTATCCCAGTCACCCACCTGAAGGAGAAGGCATCAGGCAACAGGTAGATGCCATCGCCCACACGGTATTGTACACCATTCTTGCTGGCTACACCATAGAACATCTTCCCATCCAGCTCCTCCTGGGGCTCAGCTGTCCGGGGGATCTCCTTTTGACGTACCTCGTCCAGCCGTGTGCAGCTCATGCAGAATCTGGTGGACAGAGGCCACAGGCTGAGCGGGAGAGGGCAGGACCAAGCAGAGGGGTGGGGAAAGAGGATGCCATGGGCAGACGGATGGGTGGAAGGAGTCTGGGGCTTGTTCGCTTGTTCAGGGGAGTGACCGCCTTCTGCAAGTACAGCTCCTAACACAACATCCGCTACGCCGCCACTGTGCTCAAATCACTCAGGCAGCCCCACTTGGAAACCAGAGGCACAGGGCCAACAGGGCCAGGGCTCTATGCCCACACAGAGCCCATTGTGGTGCCATCCTGAAGCTGAGCAACACACATGCATGATGGCAGTGCTGGGGGATTTGGGTAACTCATGGCTCCATGTCAACCTCCCTAGAGAGGCCTTTGGGTTCCAGCTGGCTTCCAGCCACCCCTACCAGCTGCTCCACCCCACCCTGTGCCCTCACTTGTACTTGTTGTCTTCAGAGGGCTGGGTCTTGGGCGGGGACTCAAACCGCGAGTACTCCTGGTCGTACCACATCTGGTAGAAGTAGGTTCTGCCGTCATCTTCCACCATCTTGATCTCCACGTCCAGCCCCCCCTGCGGGGACATGCAGGGTCACGGAACCTGCCAGCTTTTGCCCCAATGGTGGCATCAGGGAGCCCTTTCAGAGCTCCCCAGCAGCAACTGGCCACAACTTAGGTTTTATTCATTCGTTAAAGCAAGACAGTCGGGGGACAGGCAACTGCAGTGGGACACCGGATGCCTGGCTTCTTTGCCCCCACAGCTGCTGTTGCTCTGCTGGGAGGCTTGGAGCAAGTGACTCCTGGATCCTTTCCCTTACCTCTCTGGGGCTCAAAGCACCAGGACATGAGCTCAGCCAGCCATCTCCCTCCAGAGCAGACCCTTCCCCAACCCGGAGCAGAGGGTGCCATGCCCACCTCCCTGGCCCAGTTTTCCGAGGGTTGCTTGTAGATGACGTTCACTTTGCCATGGATGTAGGAGAGCTGCATGTCCTCACACTCGTCTACTAGGAAGAGCTCCAGCGGGTCCGAGGTCGCCCCCAGTACGGTATCACTGCCTCGACAGAACCAGTGGGCATGGAACATCTGCCCACTGCTGTCCTCCCACAGTGCCGTCACCCTGCAGGGGATGGGGGGAGAGGTGCAGGGGCCAAGTTAGTGCCATCTTGATACTATCAAGAAGAGGAAAGGGCCCAGGCACCCTCATGAAGCTCAGAGACCCTGGGCCAAAAGGCAGCACAGGGGAAGTGATGCTGCCCAACTGGAAGACTGTGGGCAGCTCACTTCCCCTGTGCCCACTTGCCCTGGACTGTCTGGGACAAGACCTTCAGGGCACTCCTCGAAGGTGCATGCCATGTTCAGCATAACAGGCCTGGAACCATTCCAAGGCCTCTGGGATTTATGGCAACAGCAGCAGGAGAAGGGGAGCCCACTCCGCCCCATGGACAGGAGACCCATAAGTTGTCCCGATGCCACCCAGGCCCCTCCCTCAGCCTGGCCCTGACACACCTGGCAAGGTACAGGGGCTTGGTGGGGTCGTCAGGGCTCACGGAGACGCAGTCGCCCACCTCCAGGGTCTCCGAGTCAATGCACACCTTCTGGTAATAGTCCTTCTTGGCATCACTCTGCAGGCAGAGGCTCGAAGTCAGGAAGATGCCAGAGCAACCAGTACATGCTCATGGCCACCATGGTCCCAGTCCTCAGCAGTGCCACCCAACCACAGATGGGACCCAGTGCTGTAGTCACACTGCTGCAGATATCACCACCTGATCACACTGAGGTACCACCCCATCAGCCCTGTGGCAGCAGGAAGGCAGAGGCCAGCCCTTCTGCGCCCTTCCTCTCACCTTGATGGGCTCCCCCACCCAGGAGATGCGGCTCTTGTTTTGCTTCTTCTTCCTGCCCTGCAGCATCTTCTTAGGTGATGGCATCTCAGGTATGTTGTCGTCCACCTCTTCGTCTTCATCGGCCTCCCGCACAGCCAGGTTGGGGCACCTGGGAGGGCAGTGGGACAGCTAGTGACCCACAATGAGGACCCCCCTAACTCTGTCCAGGAGCAGCCCTCCCCCTCCCTCATCCCCAGAACACAGCTGAGCTTGTCTCTTCCACCCTCCCCAGCAGCTACTGGAGCTGGCTGCATGGGACCAAGGTGCTCAGCTGGGTCCTAGCTGCCTGCTCCCGGGCAGACCAAGACCAAGCCCAAGCAGTCCTGCATTCTCCTGCCCCACTACTCTGCCCCAGGCTCTGCTCACCTCCGCTGCAGGCAGGCCTGCTTGCTCCGCCCACTGCCACCAAATTTCACCATGTTCTGGCAGGCCTTGCACTTCCCACACTCCGGCTGCTGGCAAACCTGGGGAGAAGGGGGTGGCTGAGTAGGGGGCCGTGGGATCATGCTGGCAGCAAAGGGGACAGTTGGGGCCAGAGGGGCCTGGGGAGCCTGCGGCTCTGGACAGGGAAGAACTCACATGTGGCACAAAGCCCAGAGTGGCACTGGGTCTTTCCCTTTGCCAGGTGACTGGCTCCCAGCTCTGGGTGGGGAAAAGAAAGGTGCCTTACTGTGGCCCCAGCCCTGTACCTCACAGACGCCGCAGCGCCGGCGCTTCATGGCGTTCTCCTTGTCATCCTCCTTCTCGTTCTTCTCAATCTGCTCCGAGAAGAAGGTGTCGAAGATGAGGTAGACCAGCTTGGTGGTGGTGGCCTTGGTAGGACCCTTGTCTTTGTCAATCTTGGTGGGATGCCGGATGGCCTGCCTCCGTGCAGCCCGCCTGCCACCGAAAGCTAGGTTAGGGGCAGCAACTGGGGCAGGAGGGGGTTTCAGCTCCCGCTCCTGGCCCCAGCTCACAGGACGACAGCGAGGAGTTCCATTCGTTGCACAGCATGGGGATGCCCCAGCCCACCCCTGCTTATCTTCTCCCCAGCTATATCCCACCTCTTCCCCAGCGTGACCCCAGCCAGCTTGATAAGGTCTCGCATACAGGGCGTGATAAGGACAGGCGGCTCGTCACTGTCCCCTGCCTCATCGTAGCTTTCCACCTGCTCCACCACAAACTGCGCGTGCCGCAGCAGCGAGTCCTCCGTGAAGCGGTTGAAATTCAGCCCAGCTGGGGGCACCGTCGTCTGCAGGGACATAGGAAGGAGGTGGGGGGAGCGTCACTGGCTACCTTGCAGCTGGACATCTGAGGCCCCCAACTCCCCTCCTACCCCTGGCTTGGTCTATGACCACTGTGAGTAACCACAGATGCTTGGGCTGGCAGTTTGTTCCCTGAGGCCAAACCCTGCTCCAGCAGCAGAAGGGCAAGAGTGGGAAGGGCTGGGGCAACTAGGGTCTAGGTAGTCTGGTGCAAGGGGGCCAGCGAGGGCCAGGGCCACACCTCGATCTTGTTGAGCAGGTCCTCATAACTGACGTCAGGGTTGTTCTGCAGGAACTCCACCACGATCTTGCTCATGTAGATCTTCTCCTGCATCAGGGCAAAGGTGGGTGCATACTCCTCACTGGGCTCCATCAGGATGTAGTCTGCAAAGGCTGAGCACAGGGAGAGCACGCAGGGCATCAGTGACAGCCCGTGGGCTGGCCGCAGTGCCAGGGGCAAAAGACAGGCCTCGCTGGCTAGCTCCTCACACACCTACCTGTTGTGAAGCCGATCAAAGCCTTCTCTCCTCCATCGAAGCCCGTGATCCACCAGGCGTTGATGGGGCCCAGCTTCTTGGCTCTCACGCCACCTGCACAAGGGAATGGGGAGCCTTGGTGAGCAGGGAAGGGATGATTTCCGCCCCCTGTCCCACTGGCACCAGGAGGATTAAGGGATCAGAGGGCCTGAGCCAATTCTGACTGCAGCCACTCAGAGAGCAGCCAACATTCAGCACAGGTCTGTGCGCCACAAATGCTGGCCCAGCCAGAGCCCCACTGCTTTAGAGACTGCCCCATCTCAGCCCCCACAAACTGCTTCACCAAAGGTAGTACCACCATCCCTGCCAGGAGCCCAGGCTAATGGGATGCAGCCATGAAGGCCTCAAGGCTCTGGTTGGACCCCGGAGATGCATGTGCAGGGGCGTCCCATGAAGGGTGCTCACCATCCAGGCAGGGGTTGTCGTCATAGATGGGCTTCACAACGCCACTGAAATACAGCTCGATGTTGCGCTCAATCAACCCCGTGTCGAACGGGCACAAATGCCCTTTCTTATCATAGACACTGTGTTGGATGGCAAGAGAACAGGCTGTTTTCCCATAGCACCCCAATCCAATGCCCCAACCATGTTATAGCCAACAATGTCTCAATGCTAGATCCCAACCATCCCCCAGGCCAAGTCCTGCCCTGACCCATCCCAGGCCAGCCTGGAACCACCATGTGTTTCCCCAGCTAGGGCAGAGAGGACTGACACCCAACACTCACAGGTGCTGCTTCCATGGGCATGCAGCATCCGTCAGCTGTAACTCAGCACTTGGATGGGGCTTACCTGAAGGAGGTGACTTTGTGCTGGGGCAGGTCCTCATAACTTTCAAACCCGTCCTCGTTGGCGTCGAAGATGGACAAGCGCTCATCCGTCAGCATCTCTGGCTCCTCCAGCTGAAGTGAAAGGAGGGAGGCATGCACATGCCACTTTTAGCTCCAGCTCCCAGCCCCATGGCCACAAGCTTGAGCCCACCCAACGAGCCACAAGGTTCTTACTGCATCAGCGGGATCCCCCTGGAAGAACTTGAGATCGGGGTCATCTAGATACTGCCGGCAGTCGACACACTTGGGGGGTGTGGTCTGCCAGGGAGACAACACAAGATGTCATGAGTCAACAGCCTCAGCATCACTATCATGTATGAGTCCTCCCCGCCACTCCAGGCCGAGCCAGGCCAGCCCCCCAGGGGACCAGTCACCCCAAACCCTCACACTCTGCACAGACAGGATCTGTGTATTCACCCCTACTTACTCTAGCGGGCGGCAGTGTTTTAACCTGAGTCACTTCATCTTTTATCTCAGACCTGGGCACAAAACACAGGAGGGGCAAGGACAGAAGGTAGGGGGTCAAACACAACCAAGCCGAGTTGCTCCCACAGGCCCAGACCTGAGGGCTAGTGTTCACACTCCCTGTCCAGCAGGGATGGGCAGCCCCAGGCACTGCCCAGACTCCTGCTGTGCTTCCAGAGATGGTAAAAGCCAGGTGCCCATGTCCAGGACCACACAGCATGGAGCCTGAGATGGTTGAACACAAGTGCAGAAACCAGCCAGGTGCTTGGATGCTAGGGGGCCATCAGCTGCTCTTACCCTTCTTTGGTTTCAATTTTAACTCTTTTTTCATCCTGCTCCTGAAGAGGATGAGAGAAAGCAGTGTCAGAGCAGGGGGGCCCCACAGTAACCTGGTCAGCCCGAAGCTCTGTCTCCACCGCAGTCTGACCACCCTCTGTCATAACTCCAGCAAGCCCTTCCCCTGTGCACCTTTTCATCTGGCTCCTCTTCCTCCTCCTGCTCTGTGCTCATCTCCTGCTTCACTTCTCCATTCACCTCATCTGACTTGCGCTTGTTCGATCTGCAGGGGGCAAAGGCATGATTGGACTGGAGGGCATTGGCTTCTAACAAAGCTGGCCATGTGGTGAAGGCAGCCCCATGCTGCCAGGACCCAGCCTAGTCACCTTCACAGGGACTCTGAACACCCCGGGCAGCCAGGCAAAACCACATGGGGAAGAGAAAGGAAAGTTTTGGGGGGCGGGGGAGGGGAGAGGATATTCCGGGGGGGGTGGCGTGCACACAATGTACTGACCCTTTGGCAAACATGGCCAGGATGGTGGGCTGCCGGCCAGAGCTCCGTGTGACCCTGGCACTGCCGGGGGACTCTGGCAAAGGAAAGGGCGTGTCATTGGCACCGGGCAGGGAGGTGGGGTGATGGGGGAGAGGGGCAGGAGCAAGGGCAGGGGCAAGGGCAGCTCAGGAGTTACTTTTGCTCTCGCCGTTGGATTTGCTCCTCCGTGCCTTGCGAGCCTTTGCTGCAGGCCCCAAGGAGAAGGAGGAAGAGGAGGGAGCTGTGGCTTCCTCCAGCTCCATGGCACTGTCCTCCTCCCCCTCAGGGCCAGCCCGCTCGGAGTCCTCATCACTGCCATAGGTGCCGTTCTCCGAGCACCCATTGGACTTCTGGCCGAGCACTGCAGTGTCCCCATTCCCTACTGAAAGCTCCTGGCGCAGCACGGCCTTCACCAGGGCCAGGTAGCCCTCCTGCAAAGCAAGGCAAAGTGCACTCAGCATGACCTGCCCCAGACCTTCCCCAACCCATGCCCCGTGGCCACGCAGCTACTGCCCACCTCCGAGAGCTCCTTTTGGAGCAGTTGGGTCTCAAGGTCATGCAGCTGGTTCTGCACATCTGCCTGCAAGAAGCCATGGACCAGGCTCAACTTCTCACGCACACATTCCTGCAGGGACAGAGAGGAGGAGAGTACTTTGCTGGGAATAAGCCATCACAGTCACCTTTGCCCCCCACAGGTCTCCTGGGGCACCTGAGGGAAGTCACAGGTTGCCCCATGATCTCCATCCTGCCCGTCTGTTGCTGCATGACTAGCAGCTTGCAGCACAGAACAGTTGTGGGCACAGGACTGAAAGCCCCTGCAGAGAACGCAATGAAATCTCAGGACAGCTTGTAGTGATATTCACAGAAGTAGGTGTGAATGGGACTAAGGCTCCTATCAGGCAGAAAAGCATAGGGATGACAGCAGAGCCCTACCTTCTCACTTAGGCCATCTTCATCCTTCTCTAGGTCCTGAAGCCTGCAAGACAGATAAGCTGCTGTCACATCCCCAGGTGTTTCACTCCCCCAGGTAACAATCTCATGCTTCTCTGCAAACCTGCTGGAAGTAGCAGGGCAGATTTCCCAGGCACACTAGCAGGAAAAGGGATAGGGAACACCTCCCACAGAGGTCTGTGCCCTGCCAGTGCTGGCAGCCCAGACTGGACTGATGCCACATGGGGAGCTCCTAAGTCCCACTGGAGACTGATAGAAAACAGGACTGAGGCTGCTTCCAACTGCATGACGGGTCCTGATCACTTGGGAGATGCAGGAAGTGATGCTTTGTAAACAAGCCAGGGTGACAAGCATGGAGACTGGGCTTCTTTGTGGAAACCCCAGGTCCCACTCTTGGACACGAAAGGAAAACTTGCAACATGGCCTGGGAGCTCGGGCTTCCACAGCATTTGCTCACTTAAAAAACGAACTTTAGCCCATCTCCCTCCTGAGGGGGTTGCCCTGGCCAGAAGAGGCCAACACAAGCTAGTGCAACACCATGGGACTTTTTGGTCCCTCTAGGACAGCTCCCGGCTACAACACACGCTTCCTACCCTACTGCAGCTCCACAAACCCCCATGGTCAGGGCCAAGGGCCTGCAAGTCTGGGGCTGCCATCAGAGAGACTGAGATCCCACTGCAGCAGCAACAAAGGCCAGACAAGGAGCACCAGGATGAGCACAGGACAGTGCCAGTGCCTGGGCCTGGGTGGAACTCCCCTATGTGCTAGGGATGGGTACTAAGGGCACACACAATGAGGTTACAGGCTGTGGCTGTGCCTGGCAGGGACAAACAAGGAGACCAGGCAGTGGCTGCAGGGGCACACGAACTCACAAGGCTCCTGCGAGGGAAGGCAGGAAGAGGCCCAGGCCCTGGCCTGCCCAGGCTTTGCCTCCGTATGGGGAGAGCACCATGGAGCACCTCTGTCTGGCAGAGGACAGGACGCGAGGGGCCAGCGCCACTCGCTGTGTTGTGATGCAGTCCATCCAGGGCATGTGGGGAACAAGGTCTGCCCCGCAGAGCCCGGCAGGGACAGGCCAAAGGGGAGGAGCATCGACTGCTCTCACAGGCGGGCCCAGCAGCGGGGATGCCAGCGCCCCAATCTCTCCTCACTCAGGCGCCATGGCGCTCCCTGCTGCCCTCGGATCAGCTCCCGCATTCCCTCCTTGGAAGGCTCCCACGATACCACCTCCTCTGCACAGCGGTGACGCCCTGGGCCCTTGCCTGACTGCCCAGGGGCCCAGTTGGCAGACGGCCCACAGGGAGCGGGTGTGTGCCGGCGGCCACTGAGGCCACGTGGGCTCCCCGTTCCCGCGCACTCCCCACCGCGCCTGCACCCGGCCCCTGCCCCTGCCCTGCCAGCAGCTCTGCAGATGGGCCAAGCAGCACAGCCCACCGCAGACGCCTGGCCCCAGTAGGTGGGGGGGGCAGGGGGAGACAGCAGGTCCTATGTCCCACCCCCTTCACCAGGAGAGGAGCCATGCAGGGAACCCGAGGAGGATGGGGGCTGTGCTCAGTGCCAGGGCTGCAGGACTGCCTGGCCGGAAGAGGTGTGATGGGGCCCGGGCAGCCCTGGTCTGACTTGCCAAGGCTGCCTGGGGGCTGCTCCGTGGTCGAGCATGGGGAGGCAGCAGAGATGCCCCTACTGCTCCCGTTCAGCGGTGCCGGCTGGACAATGGTAGTGAGGCAAAGCAGCCTTACAGGAAGCGCGCGCCACGTGCAGCTCCCGGTGCCGCTGCTGCCACCACCAGCCTTGCCAGTTGGACGGCCCACCCGGGCTGGCGCTCACCCTGCCCTGTGGCTGGACGCAGAGGGCCCCAGTCTGTCCCTGGCATGGCCCCGGCTGTGCGATTCAGGCCTCTGGGCTGGGAGACAGCGCCAAGCTAACTCCAAACCAAGTGCTGCCGAACTCTGAGGCCAGCTCCTCGTGTGCAGTGAGGGAGAACGGGACATCTGGGACTGTCCTCAGCCCCCTGCCCCTCCCCCCACTGCAGCCTGGGGAAATGAGGGGCTCAAGGTGGCCCGGCTGCCAAGCTGAGGGGCCCCGCGGGCTGCCCCAGCACCAAGACAAAGGCAGCTGCTGGGGGAATGATCACAGGCGCGGTTGGCGGGAGTGCCTGTGAGCAGGGTCCTGCTGGGTGGGGGCGGCGGTGGCGCCATGTCTGCCCCCCCGCCCATGCCAGGATGGCGGGAGTGTCCAGCGCAGCTGCAGCTCCCCCCCCAGCCCTGCCACCAGGTGATGGGACACGGCGCCACTTCCTGTCCCAAACGGCTGGGGGGGCAGGGGGCACAGCTCAAAGCAGTCGGGACCAGGCTACCCCCTCCCACAGCTCCAGGACGTGCCCCTGTGCCAGGGCTGCACCCCGCCGCCAGCCAGGCCGACACAGCACACCCCGACACAGCCCCGGGGCAGCACGTGGGGCCAGGCGCCTGGCGGGGGTGACCCCGAGGCAGGGGTGACCCTGCTGAAGCGAAGGGCCTGATCCTGGGGGTGCGTCCCGGCCCCGGGGGCACGATGCAGGAGTCAGGGCGGGGGGCCAGACCCCGGGGGACCCGATCCTGGGCGCAGAGAGCCCCGGCCCGAGGGGAGGCCGGGCCCGGGTCCTGAGCGCGGGGGTCCCGATTCGGGGCCCGGCACTCACCGGCGGCGGAGCGCGGCGGGCAGCGCGGGCG